AATGGTAAAGGGATCAATTCAACAGGAAGAGCTAACTATCCTAAATATATATGCACCCAATACAAGAGCACCCAGATTCATAAAGCAAGTCCTTAGAGACTTACAAAGAGACTTAGACTCCCATACAATAATAATGGGAGACTTCAACACTCCACTGTCAACATTAGACAGATCAACGAGACAGAAAGTTAACAAGGATATCCAGGAATTGAACTCATCTCTGCAGCAAGCAGACCTAATAGACATCTATAGAACTCTCCACCCCAAATCAACAGAATATACATTCTTCTCAGCACCACATCGTACTTACTCCAAAATTGACCACGTAATTGGAAGTAAAGCACTCCTCAGCAAATGTACAAGAACAGAAATTATAACAAACTGTCTCTCGGACCACAGTGCAATCAAACTAGAACTCAGGAGTAAGAAACTCAATCAAAACCGCTCAACTACATGGAAACTGAACAACCTGCTCCTGAATGACTACTGGGTACATAACGAAATGAAGGCAGAAATAAAGATGTTCTTTGAAACCAATGAGAACAGAGATACAACATACCAGAATCTCTGGGACACATTTAAAGCAGTGTGTAGAGGGAAATTTATAGCACTAAATGCCCACAAGAGAAAGCAGGAAAGATCTAAAATTGACACTCTAACATCGCAATTAAAAGAACTAGAGAAGCAAGAGCAAACACATTCAAAAGCTAGCAGAAGGCTAGAAATAACTAAGATCAGAGCAGAACTGAAGGAGATAGAGACACAAAAAACTCTCCAAAAAATCAATGAATCCAGGAGTTGGTTTTTTGAAAAGATCAACAAAATTGACAGACCACTAGCAAGACTAATAAAGAAGAAAAGAGAGAAGAATCAAATCGACGCAATTAAAAATGATAAAGGGGATATCACCACCGACCCCACAGAAATACAAACTACCATCAGAGAATACTATAAACACCTCTACGCAAATAAACTGGAAAATCTAGAAGAAATGGATAATTTCCTGGACACTTTCACTCTTCCAAGACTAAACCAGGAAGAAGTTGAATCCCTGAATAGACCAATAGCAGGCTCTGAAATTGAGGCAATAATTAATAGCCTACCAACCAAAAAAAGTCCAGGACCAGATGGATTCACAGCTGAATTCTACCAGAGGTACAAGGAGGAGTTGGTACCATTCCTTCTGAAACTATTCCAATCAATAGAAAAAGAGGGAATCCTCCCTAACTCATTTTATGAGGCCAACATCATCCTGATACCAAAGCCTGGCAGAGACACAACAAAAAAAGAGAATTTTAGACCAATATCCCTGATGAACATCGATGCAAAAATCCTCAATAAAATACTGGCAAACCGGATTCAGCAACACATCAAAAAGCTTATCCACCATGATCAAGTGGGCTTCATCCCTGGGATGCAAGGCTGGTTCAACATTCGCAAATCAATAAACATAATCCAGCATATAAACAGAACTAAAGACAAGAACCACATGATTATCTCAATAGATGCAGAAAAGGCTTTTGACAAAATTCAACAGCCCTTCATGCTAAAAACGCTCAATAAATTCGGTATTGATGGAACGTACCTCAAAATAATAAGAGCTATTTATGACAAACCCACAGCCAATATCATACTGAATGGGCAAAAACTGGAAAAATTCCCTTTGAAAACTGGCACAAGACAGGGATGCCCTCTCTCACCACTCCTATTCAACATAGTGTTGGAAGTTCTGGCTAGGGCAATTAGGCAAGAGAAAGAAATCAAGGGTATTCAGTTCGGAAAAGAAGAAGTCAAACTGTCCCTGTTTGCAGATGACATGATTGTATATTTAGAAAACCCCATTGTCTCAGCCCAAAATCTCCTTAAGCTGATAAGCAACTTCAGCAAAGTCTCAGGATACAAAATTAATGTGCAAAAATCACAAGCATTCTTATACACCAGTAACAGACAAACAGAGAGCCAAATCAGGAATGAACTTCCATTCACAATTGCTTCAAAGAGAATCAAATACCTAGGAATCCAACTTACAAGGGATGTAAAGGACCTCTTCAAGGAGAACTACAAACCACTGCTCAGTGAAATCAAAGAGGACACAAACAAATGGAAGAACATACCATGCTCATGGATAGGAAGAATCAATATCGTGAAAATGGCCATACTGCCCAAGGTAATTTATAGATTCAATGCCATCCCCATCAAGCTACCAATGAGTTTCTTCACAGAATTGGAAAAAACTGCTTTAAAGTTCATATGGAACCAAAAAAGAGCCCGCATCTCCAAGACAATCCTAAGTCAAAAGAACAAAGCTGGAGGCATCACGCTACCTGACTTCAAACTATACTACAAGGCTACAGTAACCAAAACAGCATGGTACTGGTACCAAAACAGAGATATAGACCAATGGAACAGAACAGAGTCCTCAGAAATAATACCACACATCTACAGCCATTTGATCTTTGACAAACCTGAGAGAAACAAGAAATGGGGAAAGGATTCCCTATTTAATAAATGGTGCTGGGAAAATTGGCTAGCCATAAGTAGAAAGCTGAAACTGGATCCTTTCCTTACTCCTTATACGAAAATTAATTCAAGATGGATTAGAGACTTAAATGTTAGACCTAATACCATAAAAATCCTAGAGGAAAACCTAGGTAGTACCATTCAGGACATAGGATGGGCAAAGACTTCATATCTAAAACACCAAAAGCAACGGCAGCAAAAGCCAAAATTGACAAATGGGATCTCATTAAATTAAAGAGCTTCTGCACAGCAAAAGAAACTACCATCAGAGTGAACAGGCAACCTACAGAATGGGAGAAAATTTTTGCAATCTACTCATCTGACAAAGGGCTAATATCCAGAACCTACAAAGAACTCAAACAAATTTACAAGAAAAAAACAAACAACCCCATCAAAAAGTGGGCAAAGGATATGAACAGACATTTCTCAAAAGAAGACATTCATACAGCCAACAGACACATGAAAAAATGCTCATCATCACTGGCCATCAGAGAAATGCAAAACCACAATGAGATACCATCTCACACCAGTTAGAATGGCGATCATTAAAAAGTCAGGAAACAACAGGTGCTGGAGAGGATGTGGAGAAATAGGAACACTTTTACACTGTTGGTGGGATTGTAAACTAGTTCAACCATTATGGAAAACAGTATGGCGATTCCTCAAGGATCTAGAACTAGATGTACCATATGACCCAGCCATCCCATTACTGGGGATATACCCAAAGGATTATAAATTATGCTGCTATAAAGACACATGCACACGTATGTTTATTGCAGCACTATCCACAATAGCAAAGACTTGGAATCAACCCAAATGTCCATCAGTGACAGATTGGATTAAGAAAATGTGGCACATATACACCATGGAATACTATGCAGCCATCAAAAAGGATGAGTTTGCGTCCTTTGTAGGGACATGGATGCAGCTGGAATCCATCATTCTTAGCAAACTATCACAAGAACAGAAAACCAAGCACCGCATGTTCTCACTCATAGGTGGGAACTGAACAATGAGATCACTTGGACTCAGGAAGGGGAACATCACACACAGGGGCCTATCATGGGGAGGGGGGAGGGGGAAGGGATTGCATTGGGAGTTATACCTGATGTAAATGATGAGTTGATGGGTGCAGCACACCAACATGGCACAAGTATACATATGTAACAAACCTGCACGTTATGCACATGTACCCTACAACTTAAAGTACAATAATAATAAATAAATTAAAAAAAAAAAAAAAGAGATGGCAGAGGTAGAAAACCCCTTCATAAGCCCCTCCTAGATGACATTTATTTGTCTCCAGCCTCCTTTTTTTTTTTTTCTTTTTGATACGGAGTCTTGGTCTGTCACTCAAGCTGGAGTGCAGTGGCACGATCTTGGCTCACTACAACCTTGGCCTCCCGGGTTCAAGCAATTCTCCTGCCTCAGTCTCCCGAGTAGCTGAGACTACAGGTGCCTGCCACCATGCCTGGCCTAATTTTTGTTTTAGTAGGGATGGGGTTTCACCATGTTGGCCAGGCTGGTCTCGAACTCCTGACCTCAGATGATCTGCCAACCTTGGCCAAAGTGCTGGGATTACAGGCGACAGCATTTTTAAGAAGCGGCCTGTGTGCAGCGCGTAGATCTTCCTGCCTTTTGAATGGGAAAGCAAAGCACACCATTCATTCTGGACGGCCCCCAAAAGACTTCACTAACTTGGGAGACAGGCATCAGCAGAGGGCCTGTTTCTGAGATGGATCATTTAGATCCATGCTCCACAAATTCTCCTGTACACTCCAGTCCCCTTGGGATCTTGTCAAAACATGGTTTTTGATTCAGAAGGTGTGGGGTGGGACATGAGATTCAGGATTTAAAAAAAAAAAAGCCAGATGCTGATGCAGCTGGCTCATGCACCACACTTTGAATAGCAAGAAGTTACATTTAATTCTCACGACGCAGGGGCTCTAGGCTTTGAAAATTTCAATGCTCACTTCTGTGCATGAGATGTGAAGATGAAAGTGGAGGCTTTTGGGCCGAGCGTGGTGGCTGATGCCTATAATCCCAGCACTTTGGCAGGCCGAGGTGGGCGGATCACCTGAGGTCAGGAGTTTGAGATCAGCCTGACCAACATAGTGAAACCCCGTCTCTACCAAAAATACAAAAAATTGCCGGGCATAGTGGCAGGTGCCTGTAATCCCAGTTACTTGGGAGGCTGAGACAGGAGAATTACTTGAATCCGGGAGGTGAAGGTTGCAGTGAGCCGAGACCACACCATTGCACTCCAGCCTGGGTGTCAGAGCGAGATTCCATTTCAAAAAAAAAAAAAAAAAAAAAAGTGGAGGCTTTTGCAGAGTAAGTGAGTTCTCCCTGTGAGGCTCACACTTCTGAGATATTGGGGGAACTTTAACTTTGATATGAAGCTATAATGGGCATTAACACCTAGCAAGACAGGCGCCAGACAGCAAGTCTCAAAGAGAACCACACCATTGTTAGCTTACAGGACAAGGGCTCCAGCGTCACGTCGAACGTCTCCTTCTTGAATTCTGCCTTCGAGACCCCGGTGTAGAAGGTGATGTTGGCTGAGAGATAAGCTGTGATGGTGTAATGGTTGTGGCTGTTGTTCCGGAAGGTGATGGTGAGCTTGAGGTCTTTTCCCAGCACGGCATTTTCCACTTCAAAGTCCATGTCAACTTTGGACCTCGATTTCATGACACCCTCCGTGTTGAGGGGCTTTTTAGCTCCGTACATCAGGGCCGTTTCTAGGGCCAATCTCTCTTCTTCTTGACCTGGAGGAGATCCAGAGATAATGACAGGGAAAAATACAATCCACCCGAGAGAAAGTCACATTAATGGATGCACTGTGTGCTGCACTTGTTGGGGTGCTTCTATAAAACAAGCTTCAGACCTCCCCGGGAGGCAGGTGCCATCATTATTCTTATGTTATAAATTCTGCAATGTCAGATTCCCAGAGAGTCAGTGACCAGCCTAGGCTGCGAGTTAGGAGGTGACAGTGTTGGGATCTATCCAGAAAGGGGTTTCTCTGGGGCCACTATTTCAGGGGGTGGGAGGTAAAATTGGCAATGTCTATCTCTTCTTAAACTGTGGTGTCAGTTTGCTTGCCTTCCTTAGTCCCAGCCATGTGGCTAGAATTTGGGGACCTCTAACAGTTGGGAATAATTGCCTCTTGCCATTCCACCTCCTGCAATGTAACTTTTCCCTCTGATTTGTGAATCCTCTCTCCCAATAAGACCTGTCTTCCTCATCTCTCCTTCCACTTGGGCCTGTCCCACTTGCTCTTTGCTGAGCTGACCCTTGAGGGCTCCTGCCCTGTTCTTCCCTATCTTACTCAATTGCCATTGCCCCCAACGCCCATGCTGTGGCAGAAGGCAGAAATCACTTTTTACCAAAACTTGCATCCCCCAGTCCCCAAGGATGCTGGGCTCTGGCAAGACATTAAAAAGGCGACCCTGCCCAAGGTGCTTCGGTCAGATCCCTTGGAGGGGCACTAGTTGTCCAGCGCCTCCTGGAGATGTTCTCCACCTTCATTAGCAGATTAGAGGTTCTAAGTGAAGCCCAGCAGCAAGGACACCTCTTTGCTTTTCTTTACACAAGGTTTCCCAAACTCATCTGACACTGAGGGCAGTTTTTTGAGGGACATCTATTGACATATGGTGGTGCACCTAAGTTCTAATGCAGTTTGAGGTGTATGTGCTGCTTTTATGAAAACGTTTTGTGCAGGGTTTCCAAAGTGGTTGTGATGGAGATGAAGGGAGGAAGAGGAGGATAGTAAGCTCTGGAAGAAGAAAAATATAGCTTTGTCTAAGTGAGGAGGCAAAAAATACAGATACAAGTCCGGCCGCAGAGGGAGCTTGTGCCTCACACACTGAGAAGCTGGGAGGATGGTCCTTACAGAGCCTTGGACAAAAGGCTTTGCCTTGGGGACAGGGCTCGTGCAGATGTGAGGGATGGTCGTTATCCTCTTTTCCATCCTAAATACCTTTGGGTTTATGTTTGTGCATCCCTAAGGATAGAGATGAGAAGATGAAGGCAAATTCCTTGGCTTGTAAAAACTAGGCTTTAGAATGGCTAGTGAAAAAAAAATCACTTTAAAATAAGAATCCTACGTTTTATAATTATGCTAGTTTAAAGGTACTCTCTTCTACTTTATCTAGTTCATAATGAAATGCAATGGTGACTGAGAGGTCAATGAATCATCACAACCCTCACTGAGGGCTAGCTGTGTGCCAAGCACCGGGATAAGTGCTTATTGTGCATTGTGTCATTTGATCCCCATAACAACTCTACAAGACAGACACCATTATTACCATCACTTTCCTTGTTTGTAAAATAAGGGTGTCTACATCCTAGGTTTATCAGGCGAATTAGAGGTAGTAGATATATAATACATGGAAGCTACTCTGCAAAGACAGAGAAAACGACAGAAGGCATTGCATACAAATATGAATGTGTATTTGTGTGTGTGTGTTTGTGTGTGTGTGTGTGTGTATTAACGATTTCCCTGATTGTCAAGACTGCAAGAATGTGCCAGGAACTGTTAGTCTAGGACAAGCATCGGCTAGGGCCCTCGGAGGGAGATAAGAAAAAGGGAAGGAGGGGTGAGGACAAGGGAAGTGCAGTGAAATATTTTAGCAGAAATCATCTGGCCAATAGATCCATGAGAAGAGAGCATTAATGATGATCACTTTGGATGGGGGCCAAATATGCATTGAGGCAAAATGCAGGAGGCAAATTTGAGCAGCAGGAACGTATCAGAGAGGAGCTGAGCTGGCCAAGGTGAGGGGAATGGGAGAAGAAGCCTTGAGGGCAGCTATTAGCAACTTCACGACCTGCCATGGGTGGAGGCACCTGGAGCTTCCTTCCTGGGGAAGCAGCAGCCTCTGTGAGCAGAGACCGCCAGGCAGAGGCAGGCAGGCAGGGGCTGTTCCAGGAAGCACAGACCCGGAGAGGAGAAAACAACTGCAGGCTTTCCCAGAGCCTGGCAGAGTAATTCCTGTTTCTCTACAGTTATGCTCTGTGCTCTGGCGTCTTACATAATTCAGGGCCACAGGCAACATTTTAGTGCTATGAAAGATTTATCCAAAGCCAGATTTTATTTTCTGAGATTCTTCTACAGCCTCTGGGTGCAAAGTCAAAAATATCTTTCCATTAACTAGGATGTAATAAAAGAGCCCTTTTACGTTGGACGAAGATTCTTCTCATTGTTCTGGCTTTAGCTCCGCTGTCACCTCCCCTGTCCTCCCCCTCTTACCTTGTGTAATGTGTCCCCAAATTCTAGTCCTCTCGGCTCTCCCTAACACATACCTGGCTTTATTTCCTCTTCCTTGTCACAGTACTAGTTACTATGTGACGTTATCTTCCCTGCTGGAATGCAAGCTCCATGAGAACAGAGACATGATATGGCTTGTCCACCTCTGCATCCCCAGGCCCTGAAACCCAGCCTGGCACAGAGGATCTGAAGGATTGAGGTTTGGAGAAGCACTTTGCTTTCAGCCAGAGATAAAATTTTCCTCTTCATAATGGTCCAGTTTAGGACATTTTATGTTCAACCAAGCCCAGCTGTGAAAGTGCCTCCCCAGTAACCATTCATTCAAATCATCTCACGCTGTTGGAAACTCCATAATGTTCCAAACACCGTGCTAGGCACTAGGCACAGAAGAGAGACACAGACTTTCCCTCACTGGTGCAGAAGGAACAAGTGAAGAGCAATCCCAGCACAGATGTGTTCACCACAGATGCTGGGACGAAGCTTGGCCTGCAGTGCATGGGGACAGGAAGGGGCGTGGGAGGCTTCTCGGAGTTTTTGGAGTCCTGGCAAGGCCTGGGAGGCAGGGGGAGCTTGGCTTGTTGGAGGAACTGCTAGCAGGTCCCTGGCCTCTGCATATAATACCTGTGGGGGCATGCTCAGGAGGTGCAGTCACCAGGTGCCAAAAAGCCACTTAGCAAGAGGCTTTGTGAGTTAGGACTGGATGCCCTGGAGGCCACAGGGAGAGAGGGGGTGGGGGTTTTAAGCAGTACTAGAAGAGGCTCAGGGTTTTGTTTGTTTGTTTGTTTTGTTTTGTTTTTACACATTTACAGAGTTTTTTTAAAAATTTTTCATTATACTTTAAGTTCTAGGGTACATGTGCACAACGTGCAGGTTTGCTACATATGTATCCATGTGCCATGTTGGTTTGCTGCACCCATTAACTCATCATCTACATTAGGTATTTCTCCTAAGGCTATCTCTCCCCCCTCCCCCCACCCCACAACCGCCAGGTGTGTGATGTTCCCCTTCCTGTGTCCAAGTGATCTCATTGTTCAATTCCCACCTATGAGTGAGAACACGCGGTGTTTGTTTTTCTGTTCTTGCGATAGTTTGCTGAGAATGGTTTCCAGCTGCAGAGGCTCAGGTTTATGTTTCAGATATTACTTTGGCAGCAAGGCAAGGGCTAGGCTGAGGAAAGGAGGGCCTGAGGAAGTAAGGTGGAATTGGGAAGCTAGAGCAAGTATTTTTCCAGGAGAAAACTAATCATAGGCCAAACGAATAGGAGTAGTATGGCAGGAATAATAGAATTACTAGTAATAGGGGAAACTTTCATTGGACACTTATTATGTGTCAGGAACTATATTAAGAGTTGTACACACCAGATAATGTTTAATTTTCAGGCTATGGAGCTGGAGGGGAGGGGATGCATTTGAGAACGATTTCAGAGGGGACATTTCGAGGATTTGTTGCTCGACTCATTCTTAAGTAGCTAAATTTGAGTGGATGGTGGTTCTATTCACCAGAGTAGGGGCAGTGGGAGAAACAGATCTGAGGTGAGGGAGGGAGTGAGTGGTGTCATTTGGGAAGTTCCAAGTCAGGTTTCTGTGGGACATTTAGGTAAAGTCCGGGTGGAGACGCAGACATGGGGTGATCAGTATATACGTGAACATTAACACCAGCTATGTGGGAAGAACTTCAGGTGGGTGGGAATGGAGCTCAAGGATAGAAGCCTAGAATGAAGTGGCATTGGAAGGGGCTGAAGAAAGGGGAAAGCTTATAGTCAAAAAGAGATGCGAAAAGAGGGTCAGGTAGGAGGGGGTGGAACCAGGAGAAAGTAACATTGTAGAAACAAAGAGAAGACAGAATTGCAAGGAAAGGGAGTGAACAACAGCACCAGGAAGTGTAGGAAAGTCAAATAAGCTGAAATCTGACAATTGGGTGGTCTTGGCAACCTTGAGAACAACTTCAAGGATGTGCTGGTAACAGAAATCAGGACAGAGTGTGCGCAGAAGGAGTGGAGAAGCAACACAGCAGGATGCAAGTCCAGGCAGCGCTCCAGGATGGCAAGGAGGCGAGGAGGAAGAGACAGTGGTGAAAAAGATTTTTGTAATTTTTTTTAAAACACAGCAGACATTTGAGCCTGCTTAAATGCTGATTGGAAGGAGACAATAGAGAAGGAGAGGTGGAAATACCACCAGTGACCCTGGGAGCAAAGAGGGAATGGGATCAACACATTGTCATCAAACAAGATATATTGCCACTGGAGAAGTCTTCAGAATTCTGGTTTTCAAAGTCTTATCGTTTCTTAATTGTATATCTCGAAAAAAGTTATAAAATTAATAATAAGCTTTAGTAAGTTGAAGTGAAAATGACCTTTCCATGATTTAATTCATTAAAATAGTTAATTCCTAAATCTAGTAATAATTTGTTTCCTGTGATTCTACTCATTTCCATATTTTGGTGTCTACACTCAGCATTTATGGATCAGAGAAATTATAAGAGATTCAACGGTGAGAATCAGGGTGAGAATCAGATGGTGAGAATCAGAGTGGGAAGCACCTAGCCACGGATATGATGAGTCCTCACTGCATGCCAGTGGCCAGTGGTGGCTATCAATCCCTCTATCCCACCATATTCAGATGCAGTCTTGGTGTTCTTCTCAAAACAACACTCTACTTGGTCATTTCCAAAGTTCCAGTTTGAAATGTATATGCCACCCTTGATTAAGGAACTATCCACTTGGGGTCAACTCCAGCCCAGAAGCGGGATGAATTGTCTCTTACAACCATCTGTGTGGGTTTAGGGATTCTTCCAGTTGGACCAGACCTCCACATTGTCCCTCTCCCTCGGCCTTGCCTTCTTGCTAAACTCCAGAGGCCTGGACCTCAGATGTCTTCCTCATGCAGTGCGGACACATTTTGTTTTAATTTGGTAGCCACCCCCAGCCAAGCCCCTGACTCCTGTTTTGTGGACTGGGTTTTGGTCTTTCCTCTCATGGCATCTGATTCTGTCCCATTCCTGAGTTGGCCTTCACTGTCACCTCCATGCTGACAGCTAATGGCAGCTGTGCTCAGCTCCATGGTTTCCACAAGACATCTGTCATGTGGACAGCTCGCTTCCTGCTGCCCCTAGCTGCCTATAGGTGCAACATTTGTTCGCTACTCTATCGGGTCAGGACTTCTTCCAAATAGGAGAGTTCTCACCACAATCCCTGCCTTACTGCCTTTTCCTGGGGACCTCTTTCCCCAGCTTCACCTGCCAATTCTTCTGTGTCCTTTGGGCTTAGCGAGCCCATCACTAACTTCCTCCACGAGGCCTTCCCCGATTGCCAATTCTTGGCTGGGAGCCCTTCTCTGCGCCCGGCAGCACCTGTCCACCCTGTGCCAGAGCAATTCTCACCCAGCACAGTGAGGGCTGCCTTCTGCTTTTCTCCCCAGCTGCATGGGAAGGCAGGGCTGTGCATGTGTCCAGCTCTACACAGCACTGGAAGATGGCAGGTGGTAAGAGCCAGCTGTTGTGCGGATGAATGTATGAATGAGTGGATGTTGCAGCTAACTTTTCTATGAACTTTCTTTTTTTGTTTTTCCAAACCTTTTTTTGCTTATAACTATAGTAAGAGGGCATTTCTTGTTTGTTTTGTTTTATTTGCACTTATATTGTTTTAAATTTTCCTTTAAGGAAAAATCCAAATGACAAAAAAAAAAAAAACACCTTTGTATCTGTGTTATGCAATGGATGATAACCAACAGAAAAGGAAAATGAAGCATTTCAAAAATACAGTGAAAATTCACTAGTTCAGATAACAAAAATTCTGACTTTCTGAGACTATGCACAAGTGTTCTCAATTCAGCAAGCTTCTTTATAGTGCAAATTACTTTTGTAAATAAGAGCAGAGCGACTGTCTAAAATATTTAAAACAAATTCTGCACTCCTTAACACTTCATGGATTCCAATGAATATTTAGGTATATGCTAATTACTTGTCATTTTTATCCATTCACTAAAGTAAATACTCCTAAGAACCTCTGGCAGTGAATCATTTGCAAAATATATTGCATGCTCACCATGAAGACACCCACGGTCCTCCAGTTCCTGGCCACTGCTGGCCTCGGGCAGCTTTGTCTCCAGTTACTGGGCATTCTGAGCCTGCAGGACCCTAAACATACAGGGCTGCTTCACGCCTCGTAACTTTGATCATGTTCCCACTGCCTGGAAACTCCTGCTTAGCTTTCTTTAACTGAGGTCCACGACTTCGCTTCTCAAGTCTTTCTTTCTCTGAAACAGATGGACTAAAGGTCCCTACTTTTTGTTTCCAAAGACCCCTCTGCACAATAATCCTATCACTCAGACCAGGACAGGAACTGAGTCCTGCTCACTGCTGGGATCTCCAGCACCAAACCAATTACAGGCATAGAGTGGACACTAAGCATTGATTGAGATAGAATTAAACTCAGTAGTGCCATTTGAAACATTCTATGCAATAAAAGTCAACAAAAACCCACCATGACATTATTTTATAATTGAAACTGGCCTTTGGCCTAATTGTCCTGAGTTAGAGAGATTGTATTGTCCTATTAATATTGTATTATCTGCTTTGTAGTATTCCATGATAATGTAATGGAACAATGTATGTGAAAATAACTGGTAAAGTACTAAACAAATGTGAAGTCGTTATTTTAATTTCTATTATTGAACTAAAATTATGTTAGTTACACAGTGTTTTCTAATAGGATTATTTAAAATTAAGGTTCTTATGAGCAAGAACATATTCTATATTCTGTTAAAAGATATGACTTTAAATCAAATCATTTCACAAGCCATGTGAATGAGAATCCTGCCCAAAGCAAGCTAGCAAAGAAAACTACAATGAAATATTACATATGTGATGTGTCTTTCACGCATGAAAGTTTATACTTCTGCTGTTGCTACCAAATGCAGCAAATGCCAGCGCATTCTCTGGAACTCATCTCTGAGTGACAATGAATAAGTACTAAATGGACTTGGGCAAATAAATCTTCATTAGGTGGTAGTAAATTACCTTCTTGGAATTTGTAAGTATCAGTAATATCCATCATGCCATCTCCTCCAATTTGTTTGGTCACAATTAATTTCCCAATGTGGGTGGCATCCACATTTTCCACCACATGAGTGCCATCTTTCTTAGCTGTAATGTAAATGAGGTCGCTGTTGACCTGAAAACAGGAGAGGAGAGCATTAGCCATCATCACATGCCTGTTGTTGCTAAAGTCTTTAACTGTCCATAATGCAGTTGTCTAGAGATCTCTGGAGCTGACACGCCCCTTTCTTCAACAACATTGGATTTGTATCATAGGACCAAACAGATTTTGAATGTATTCTAAAAGCGAATCTAGTTTATTTAGCAGTACTTTAAATAAAATTTATTTGAGGGGCTGGGCGCAGTGGCTCAAGCCTGTAATCCCAGCACTTTGGGAGGCCGAGACGGGCAGATCACGAGGTCAGGAGATCGAGACCATCCTGGCTAACATGGTGAAACCCCGTCTCTACTAAAAAATACAAAAAACCAGCCAGGCGAGGTGGCGGGCGTCTGTAGTCCCAGCTACTCAGGAGGCTGAGGCAGGAGAATGGCATAAACCTGGGAGGCGGAGCTTGCAGTGAGCTGAGATCCAGCCACTGCACCCCAGCCTGGGCGACAGCACAAGACTCCGTGTCAAATAAATAAATAAATAAATAAAAATTTATTTGAGGCTGAGACAATACATTGCCTAAGAAGCAACCATTTTTCTCTCTCCTCTGTCTTCCTGATAAGTCCTACCTCCCATGGGAGAGAAGACAACGCCATGCTGCCATGCCGCCATGCCCATCGCTTGCTTCCCTGGACTGCTTTTGGCTAACTGTGACTATGTGACCAACTACCAGGAGGAAGAGGAAGTCTGCTAGGTGACTTCTGGGAGACATTTTTCCCCTTAGAAAAAGGAGAGAGGTACACGCATGAGTTTGCCCTTCCCTTTCTGCTTTCAGGTGTTTGCAGGTAAAGTGAAGGAATGCTTGAAGCTGCTGTGGCCATCGTGAGACAGTGAACAGAAACATGGCCGACAATGAGAAGGTGGCAGAGTAGAAAGCTGAGAGGCTTTTGGGTATTTGGGGAACTTAATGATGCTGTTAAATGGCTAAGCCAGCATCAGGACCACCTATTTCAGGATTTCTTATATGAGAAAAATAAGTCCCCATCTGTTTCAGCCACATCAGTTCTGCTACTTGAAGCCAAAAGTATTTAAATTGAACAACAACATTAAATGATCTAGGAGGAACTCAGTCTATTTTCTGTTGGTCCAGCCACTAAAATGTGCTATTTGTGGGACTTGGAAATAGTGTCTTGGGGCCATGCTGGCTGCCCCCAAGCTCTCCCAAGGCCCTGCTTTACCACTCTACTTTCTAGAGACAATGACTAATGTGTGCCTGAAAGCTGACTCTACCAGAGTCTTTTATTACATATTTTACAATCACTTTCTTGAGAATTCCATTTATTATCATGGAAGTGGGCAGGAAGCATGAATTGTACTGCTAATAGTCATTGATGTATTTACTAAATGTTTCCCAAGCTCCTCTCCAAGCCTCAGTTACCCACTCTTTAAATAGGGTGACAATAACTCCTTCTTCATAGGATGATTGGCAGAATTAACAGAAACAAACACACATACATTACTTATCACAGTGTCTGGCATAGAGTAAATGCTCAATAAATGTTATTGACCATAATATATTATTTAATAGTATTGCCAGATATTGTTCAAGGATTCAGAATCCTAATGATGAACAAAATAGATTTGATCTCTGCCATTATAGAGTTTATGCTCTAGTAAGCATGATTCTGTGCATCAGAGTCACCTGGAGAACTTTTTTAACAAAATAGATGCCTGATTAAGGAGGTGGGACCTAAATCACGTGAGGCCCTAAAGTCATTATATTTTACAAAAGGTCTCACACAATTCTGTTGGACAGTCAGGCTTGAGAAGCCCTGCAATATAGTACAATAAGTACCATGAAAGAATAAGTACAAGATACTTTGGACATGGGGCAGTGGGGTCAAGGGTTGGCTAGATAGCAACAGCCAAGGTGAAACCTAGATGGCCTTTGAGAGGAACACTAGATTTGCTGCAAGAAACCTGGGTTCCTATAGTGGGCATGTCCTTGTAGAAAGTGCATGTTAATCTCTATGAACTTCAGTTCCTGATTCTATAAAATAAAAATGATTAAACTTGTTCTGCCAATTTTATGGGAGCATTTTAGGTCAGAGTGAGATAAGATCTATGTGAACATGACTTGTACATTTCAAAATTGAGTAAAAAATATAATAGTCATCATTAGGTAATGGGGAAACTTGAAGATATATCCCTAGGTTTTAAAGTTGAGGTTAAAGAGAGCAATTTTACTTTCTCACAGAATGTTCTGAGTGCACATGAAATCGGACTTCTGCTAAAGAGGAGATAGCCAACATTTACTGCATACCTACAATGTTTCAGGGACATTTTATAAAGGATTTAGTTTGAACCTCACAACAACAAGCCTGTGAGGTATGTATTGTAACCGTACTATGGATGAGGGCACCAAGACTCAGAAGGGGGAGGCAGAGTGTTTGTGGTTTCATGGCTGGGAGCTGGTGGAGAAGAAGCACAAGCCCTGGGCCAGCCCATAGCCCGGCCCTTGGCCTTCACAGCACACTGCCTCTCCTACGCCACCCTGCGGGAGCATGAGCACCAGCTTGAGGGGTGAGATGGTTCCACGCTTGCGGCTCAGATTTCTGAGGCTGATAAACGGTGGCCCTGCTCCTCAGCAGAGCAGCCAGAACTCGGTGGTGCTAGCCACATGCTGTGAAAGGCTGAAATGTGAAGTCAGGAATCAGGACAGGAGAGGACACAGCAGATACCTGTGGAATACTAGTCATTTTGGAAACTGAATGAACTGCCTGAGAATTCTGGCATTCCCTCTGGAGGAAGCCATGTAAGTACAAACGGCGACCTCCTCCACTTTCAAATTGTAGCAACAATAATGATAAATATCATCTTAAGCCTTGTAACAGCTTATGATTTTCCAGGGAGACAAGCTAAATATGGAAGTGGCTAGTTCCTGCCGCCCCCCCACCACCTTGAATATGGTTTCAGAAAAACATGTAGGCTAAAATCTCAGGACAGATCAACAGCACTGTCCTTTGTTGAGAAAGGAGAGGGGAAACACCAGTATGGGGTGGTTTCTGTATATGTATGTTGGGGTGGTATGTGGAGGGAAATTATTCTTTCCAAGTGACATTAGAAAGCTTTCTTTTTGGTTTCAGCCTGTAGTGGAACGTTCCTCTATTCTGGCTGTACTAGAAAATCATCTAGGAGCTTAAAAAAGCATCATGATTGGCCCCACCCAAAATCAATTGACTCTCTGGGGTAGAACAGTAGCTAAGTTCAGAGTGTATGGTAAGGAATATTGGACTTAGGCTGTGTGGCTTTGGATGAGTTATTGAATCTCTCTGAGCCTACCTTCCTTGCAGGGCTGGTGGATAGATTGGTACTACTTGTGAAAGCCCTACGTTTAAGGCTAAATTCTCTTCCTTCTTCTGAATGTAATATAATGTTAGTGATCACCTTTTTCTACCCCTACACTTGAAGAAGTTATCGTCACACAAAATCTGGGCATTGGTGCATGAAATTGGGTGTTCTTTTCACAACACCAAACCCTTGCCTCTTAAGTACAGGCACTTCCTACATAGTAGCCTCTACCATTGGTCGGGGCCATAGGTTCTCAGCACAGGTGGAGTGGGAAGGAGGCTTGGGGGCTTCTCTCTGCAAAGGTCCACCCGGGCCCATAGAATGTGAACATTTGTCCACAGGTGGTGGAAGATATGCTCTTCACCACTGAGGCTGGAGATGTGCTCTTGATTTCAGGACCCTGGACAGAGTTTGCTTTGGTTTGTTCATTGGTTCCCAAGTGGAGATAACCTCATCTGCATGCTCCGCAGAGAAAATGCTGCTTCTCAGAGGGCACATGGAGGCAGTGAATGCCCTCCTGGACCAGGAGGCCTTCCTGGTGCTGGACCCTAGATCCTGCTCTCAGCAATGAAGACACAACAGCTTCTACCTTCATGGAGCTCATATGCTAGAAGGGAGAAATGGAACACACACTAAGGTAGGAGGATGAAAACAACAGGGCAGATGGTGATATTTTAGGTGGAGTGGGGTGGGGTGAGTGAAGGCCTCTTTGAAGAGGTGACCAGAGCAGAGACTTGAGTGCAGAGAGGAACAAAGCCTGCAAAGCATTCTTCCTCCATAGAGTGAAAGATAGTGAGGGCAGCTTTCCTAGCAAAAGGAACAATATGTCCAAAAGTGCGGAACCAAGAGGATGTGTGGATGCTTTCCAAAGAGCAAAAAGCTCAGTATGGCTGGAGGGAAATAAACAAGGGATGAAGTGGAAGGGAAGCCATGGAATCTTGTAAGAATTTATGTTCAATTTTATTGTAAGGGTGGCAGAACTCCACTAGAAGGGTTGGAGCAGGAGTGTGAAGTTTTTGTTTACATTTAAAGAATAATTCTGGTGATCTGTGGAGAATAGACAAAGAAGCAGCAAGAGGGGGATCAGGGAGACGAGTTAGGAGGTAACTTCATGGAGCTTAGTGCTGTACAGTGCTCAGAGGGTAATGACAGAGATTGTAGAAGTGGATGGATTTATGATAATTTTTGGAAGGTAATTTTGGCAAGATGCATAAGGGAGGTTAAGAAGGAAAGCTAAAATAATTTCAAAGTTTTATATGCTATTTGAATAAATGACAGGATTATTTTACAGCCAAGTAGGAGATGCCAAAAAATGGGCTGCATCTGATAAGACAGTAGCAAAATAAACAAGTTTGAATTGAGAATGAATAATCTACAGGAAAACATCTCCACTTATTGTATAAGAGAACTAACTGCTGACCCACAGCAGAGGAGGGCTTAGCTTCTTGAGCGACGAGATGGTTGCTGTGGTCCCAGGGAGCCAGTTATTGCTCCTGTCAAAATCATCTCAGTGCCAGGGAGGGCAGGCAGGAGTATGTGTATGTGTGGGTGCACATGGGTGCGTGCATGCATGTGTGTGTGTGTGCACAGGTGTGTGTGTATGTGTGTGAGTTTGGGGTGGAGTGGTGTGAAAGAGGTCAGCAGAGTTAGTGAGAAGTTAGGACAGAAGAGTTATCTTTGGCAAGAAGGAGAGAGTTCTTCACTAAGAACCCCTGAGGGCTTAGTGAACATGGAATCTTGGAATACGACTTCAGACACTTAGAACAGCTCTCCTTTCCTCTCACCTCTTTGGAAGCCCTAGGCCACCATGAGCTGGGGAGAGAAGAGGCAGATGGGTCTTCAGATCTACAGGAACCCACTGCAGCAGCGAGGGCATGGGAAGGGAGGGGTAAGAGAAATAAGCTTCGAGCCCTGGCAGAAATCCAGAAATGTGGAGAGTGAACTTCCAAAGTGGAGGAGGACAGAAAAAAGGAACAGAAGGTAAGACACTTTCCAGGCATATCCCTCTTCTTTATAGGCTCTGCTTTCACTCACGGAGACCAAGGCCCTGGGAAAACTAAAAAATAGTCAATGAACATGATGCTTGATCAAGCCCGGAAATGAGTAAGGAATGACCAAGAAAGTCAGCATGCTGGGAGGGAAGAGAAGGCGAGCTGACGCAGCAAGGAGGAGGGAGAGCAAAGAGAGCTGCAGACTCCAACCTGAGTCATGTCAACTCGCATGACGCTCTCCATGGGGTCCCACTGCAGGCACCCTTGAGAAAAGATTCCTCATACACTTTTCATCAGCTCAAACATCTCTTAAAAATGGCTCAGCCCATGCCAAAGCAACAAATTGCACCCTCTGTCAGACATGCCTCTGCAGTGGGTGAGAAAGGAGTAATTATAATCGGCAAATCCTGATGACATTCATAACACCCCGATCTATATTTAATAATAGCAAAAAGTGTTTGCATTTACAGCTATTAGGCAGCTCACTTGTGGAGGGAGGTCCTTCTTCTCCTTCTTTGCAGCAATAAAGCATAATAAAAAGCTGAATATAAGGCTTTGTGGATTTCAGAGTGATCTCCTCATAAGAGGCTCTCGTAGCATCATAAACTATCAAATGGCAGCTGGGGAGGTTTGTGGAAATCTTCAAATCCCAAAGTGAAATCGAGGGGATAAAATTCCAAGTCCAGTAAGCTTGGTCTCCAAAGGCTTCTATAAACTGTCATGGCAGGTATGATGAGATGAACACTGGTCTTTGTATGTTTCAAATTCCTGATCTTGCTGTCTGAATTTTGATGCTCGTTTTGCCTTCTAAATAATAATATTTCTCAGTCCTGCCTCTTTGTTTCCTCGTTATTGCCATTTGTCTAGCTCAGGCCCTTTCCATCTCTGGCTTGGAGGGGTGATCAACTCTCTAGATGTTCCCTACAACTTTGTAACAACCCCTCCAATCCGTGTTCCACAAGGCTGCCAGCACCTTTCCCAGGTTCCTGCCCAGTGAAAACTCTCTCTCACTTACAGGAGGGACAAGGAGCGAGTTTCTCAGGGAGGTCCCCCGCACTGAGTTCCTTCAGCCTCCACCTTCCAACACCCCTGATGCATCCTAGTGAGTCATCACAGCTTTCAACTTCCCCCACACAGCATTCAGATGCTCAACTCATACCCCCTGCTTAGTACTCCTCCCGTCCTCTGACTGCTTTCTAATCCCTTTGCCTAATCATCCCTCCTTCGCCTGTGGTCCCACAGTTCCCTGCTCCTACTGTCTAGGAACACTTCCACAGGCATCCTCACTGTCTGTTCCCAGGTCGTCCTTCCTTCCTAGACGGTGTCTTGTGGTCTTTGCCATCCTGCTTCAGTTCTTGGCCTCTACTTCTCAACTCACGCATAGTATGAATGCAGATCTGTGCTCTCTACACAGCCCACCTGACAATTAATTCCGTAGCATCACTGGTATTGTTGTCATTTCATGTTCGGTGTGTTTGTGCCCTGTCACCTGGCATGTAGAAATATGTTTCTTAAAGACCTGAACCTTAGAATTCCCCCCAGTACAGTGCCTGGTGTACACTAATAGTAACTATTTACTCCTCCCAGAGTACTAGAGTGCAATGGTTACCAGTATGCGTTCAGGCATCTGCCTGGCTTCAAATCTTAGCACCGCTGTTTATTAGCTAGATGGTTGTGAGAAAGTCATTTAACCACTCTCTGCCTTGATTTTCTTTTCTGTAAAATGGGAAGAATGATATTAACAATTTTAGAGGGTTGCTAAGAGCATCCAAAGGTAGGCAAAGTGAGCAACATTATTTCAGTGTATTTATTGGTGCAAATATACCCTAGGGAAGTCCTGCCTCTCAGTCTTTCAAGTCTTCCAAGGCTGGCAGCCCAGCCTTCTCCTTTACCCAACATCTCTTACATTTAATTTGATCTTCAGAACTCTCCTTGAGTATCCTTTAACAGCCTCTTCTGCTTCCAGTCCCTGCCTAGTTCTTCTGAAATTGCAGAGCCTTTGCCCAGGCATTCACATCAACCCTGTAGGTGGGTTGTATTCTTTTAGAGCAGCCTCCAGGTTCCCTTCCTCCTTTGGCAACTCAACCCTCCCTCCCTGGCCACGGATGATGGTGTGGGATGGCAGAACATAGATTGCAAAGGCCAGGGTAAGACCATGGTTGGGTGTGTGTATGTGGATTTTGTCCTACATGGATTGCTGGACTAGTCCCAGAGGGAAGTAGCATGTCCTGAAATTTCAATTCATGACCCGTCTCTACCAATGGTTAGTTGAGAGATCCATTAGTCATATAATTTCTCTAGAGTAGTTGATACCTACTTCATGGGTGCAGAGAACTAAGCTAATGTTAGTAAAGCATTTACTTTTGGGAGTAAGAATCCCAAAACATTAAGGAAAGAAAAATGTTAAAGAAGAACTGCATTTAGCGTTAATAGCCTGGAAGTTAGAATAATGCCTAGTTACCTTTGTCAACACGAAGCATACACTATGTACCTGGAAAACTTAGAAGCAACAACTTTTAGCTTACTCTTTCATGTGTTAAGAAGTTGGGAAGAAAAACAGCACTTTCTTCCAGCTTCCCGCTTACCTCTGCAAAAACAAAAGGTGCATCAAATTGGAAGCAGACGTGGCCGTGCTTGATGGCTTGAACCGAGGCGGGGCCACACCGATACATGCCTGCATTGCACAGAGGAAGGGCGGTGTGAGTTTCTCATCTCCAATTCTGTCCAGATACTGCAAGATGCATGGCACTGAGGGTGACTCTGTAGAGACCAGTGTTCCCGACTTCAATGATGATTTAGCCCAAACTCTTTCCAAGGCTCAAGAGAATCCATTGGCTATGCTTCCTCAAGCCAAAAATTGAAGCCATGGAAATAAATACAAGGCAACACTATTCCTGCATCTACTGGGCCACCTACAGACACATACCCAGATGTGTTCACGCCAAGCAGATGACTTACACAGCATTTATCTCTTGTTCAGGTGGCATCTGAAATGTTGGAAATGTTGACGTGTCCTCTGTGGTTGTGTTGCTGTTGCTGTTTGTTTTGCTTTTTGTCTTTTGTTTTTGGACATTATGAACATAAGTCAAGTTTAACTGGAGAATCTGGACATTACCTGTTCATTTTGGCCATGCCCACTGTGCATGTAGGAAGTCAGAAGGCCCATGTTACTCTTCTAAAATCCTTTAAATTTTTACCACCTATCCATAGTTAATAAGAGATCAGCTGCTATTAGTCATCTCAAAAGTGTCCCCATGATATATATACCAGAACACCAGAAAGTGCTAAACTTTCTTCCTTAAAGTCCAGGATTATAACATGGTTTCACTATGAATATGCACCGAATGTTTATGCATGTGCCTGTGTGTGCCCATCAATATATCAACACCTGAGGAAATAAACATAATATCCACAATATCCACAGTCTACTGATTCTTTATATTATCATATTAAAGAGAGATGGAGGCTTATGATGTGATTTTGTAAAAATCTGGGGGAGGTCAGAGCTGCAGCTGCTTAGCATAGTTGGCAAGTTAGAAGACAAATACCCCACATACTCAAGCTTTGGAGGAAATCACACGACATAAAAGGAGGCCAGGTTCTGGAAAAACAACAATTTAAAGGATGATCTATAATTATTTTTCGAGTTCTCTATTTTCTCTACTGCTTTATATCTTATCTGTGCATACCATGAAGGGCTGAAGTATGTTTTATAGCCTAGTAAAAATGCTTACAGATATTTTCTCTCCTGTCTTCGAAACTGCTTAGCAAAGCAAGAATGGATGAATTATATGTTGTTTTATATTCTTTTTCTAAAATTTGTAAAATAATCAGGGTAAAGCTGACTATTCAAATGAAATTAAACCTGATTGGAAGGTAGCTAATACTGCGCATGTGCCCAGGAAGCACACTTCAGATGTTGGCTCCCAACGGGCGTGGTTCCCACACACCAAATGCAAGCATAAAAGCAAAATAAAGATCAGCAATGAAGCATTTCCCGGAGGGAGGACACAATTTTACCATCGCTATTTTCCTGGGGGGTGCTGTCCACAGCTTGCCAGCCTCCAAATCCGACAGGAAGGTCAGGCCTTGTCATCCATGCTTCATTCCAGCAGTGGTAGTTCCTTAGAAAACACAAGCCCAGAGAGGTTAAACTTCCCTTCACACCCAATGCTCCAAGAGATCAAGAAGCCGTGGCCAGGCGCAGGGGCTCATGCTTGTAAACCCAGCAATTTGGGAGGCCAAGGCAGGTGGGTCTATGAGGTCAAGAGATCAAGACCATCCTGGCCAACATGGTGAAACCCCATCTCTACTAAAAATACAAAAATTAGTTGGGTGTGGTGGCACGCCTGTAATCCCAGCTACTTGGGAGGCTGAGGCAGGAGAATCACCGGAACCCGGGATGTGGAGGTTACGGTGAGCCGAGATCGCGCCACTGCACTCCAGCCTGGTGACAGAAGGAGAGACTCTGTCTCAAAATAAATAAATAAATAAATAAAAATAAAAATAAATAAAATAAAAAATAAATAAAGAAGTGACCCCCAAATCCTGTGCATATGCTGTCTACAGATTACTAGAATAGTTTAAGCCAAATCTGGGAGCTCCTGGAGAGATCCTGAGGCTCTAGACTTGGGTTTTCTGGGCAGATTGTTTCTCATTGGCATCCCTCGGGACACTCATCTGGCTGGATGTCTCTTTTCCCCTGCTAAGAGCAGCTTTAAGGCCACCCAAAGATATTTGAATCAGTGCATTAAACAGTTTTAATCTCAACCATTCTCTGCTGACTAATGAAACAGAACTTACTACGTACCGAAGGAGTAGGGAAGAAAAGTTAACCAAAACTGAAATATTTATTTTGAACTTTTTAATATAGTTCCTATTTGGAAAAAGCATATTCCTTTGTAGTAATTAAGCAATAAATACTTGTGTTTATGGTCTTAGACCATTACCATAGAAACTATAACAATGATCCCTGACTATAATTTTCTACAATTTCCATCTCATGTCCAACAAGAAGAATAGGTTGTCAGGGTGAATATCTCTTTACCCTTTATTAAAGGTGGGAAACCCAGGGGCTAAGGGCCACGGAAAACTTCTCAGGACTTTGAATATGACCCTGGAAGCAAAAGCATGGAATAAAATGTCATCATGAATTGTGTTATTATGTCCTTGGAAAGACCTGAAATTATACGACAGTACGGAATTAAATGAGAGCACATTAACCCCTCAGCACTATAGAAAATGTTCATATAGTAATAAAGATTTAATAATGCAGTGAGGTAGTTACTGCAGTCTTTGTTTATGGCACTGATGAATTTCAGGTTCAACTACCATGGGTCCCTTCCCTAGATGCCCTTCAGTGTCACTTGTTTCCCCATGCTCCCATCTTTCTCTGAGTGCAGCCCATTTCTGATTGGCTCAAGAGATATTAATTTCACTATGTACCCACTATACACCAGGCACCTTGCTAGGTGCTGGAGATTCAAAGATGATCAAAACAGATTCTTACCCATAAAGACCCTCACAATCTAGGAGAAATGACAAACCTGTAAACCAATTATCAAAACTGTCATAGGTTTGCCGTGAGGCTTAAATAAGCTAATACACGTATTTTGAACAGGGACTGGCATGTGATAAGTGCTCAAAAACGGTAACTCTCAGACTTTGAAAAATAATTAATTTAAATGATCCGTGGTAAAACGGGAGTTCATTTGGGGTGCCACGGAGTCTCAGTGGAGCAAAGTCTCCAGATATTTGGGAAGTGATATTTGAGCTGAGGGTTGAAAGATAAATGGGAGTTTAGGAGGTCAATAAAAGGAGGAAGAACAAAGTTGCAGTGGCATGAAATAGCCACCATGGTGTGTTTGGGGAACTGTCTGCTGTCTGTTGTGACTGGAGCATAGCATGTCTGAATATTCAAGTGCATAGGAGGAGAACAGTGATGGCAGACAATGCACGGAACTAACAAATACATATAACACTTCCTTAGTGCCAAGTGCTGTTCTAAAACCCTCATGGATATTAACACATCTGATGTCCCTAGCACCCTATAAGAACAGTACTATTGGCTGGGCGCAGTGGCTCACGCCTGTAATCCCAGCACTTTGGGAGGCCGAGGTGGGTGGATCACAAGGTCAGGAGATTGAGACCATCCTGGCTGACACGGTGAAACCCCGTCTCTACTAAAAATATAAAAAATTAGCCGAGTGTGATGGCGGGTGCCTGTGGTTCCAGCTACTCAGGAAACTGAGGCAGGAGAATGGCGTGAACCTGGGAGGCGGAGCTTGCAGTGAGCTGAAATTGTGCCCCTGCACTCCAGCCTGGGTGACAGAGCAAGACTATCTAAAAAAAAAAAAAAAAAAAAAAAAAAAATCAGTACTGTTATAATTACCCTCAGTTTATAGGGGAGGAAGTTGAAACCCAGGAAGGCTAAGAAACTTGCTGAGGTCACACAGCTAGTTAGTGATAGAGCTCTGAAATCCATACTCTTCAACACTGAGCTATGATATAGGTGAGGATAAGATTGTGAAATCCTTTGATATCAAATTAAACATTCGTGCTTTATTCTTAGGCAATGAAAAGCCATTGGAATAATTTAAGAAGAGATAAATTTGCAAATCTCTGTTCATGGAAGATGGATGGAGAAGCAAGACTAGAGATTGAGCTGAGTCCTCCCCTGCTGTCCCCCACCCCTGAAGAACTGCAATAGTCTACAGTGGACCAGAAAGGCACTCAGGTGGCCACCACAATGGAGAGGGAGGAAGCCATTGGGAGGTACAACCCACAGGTTTAGGGAGATGTGAGGGGACTTGGATGAGTTGGGGAAGACTTTTGCCTGTCCAAGGAGTATGATGGTTTTCTTTACCAAGACTGTGAATAAAAAAGGAAGAGAAGAAAGTCTGTGTTGGGACTGGTGTGATGGGTGGGTGACCAGCTCAATTCTGGACAGGATGAGCTTGAGTGCCTGTGGAAAATCCAGGAGATGAGGTCTAAGAGGCATTTTTGTCTACACTTGTGATGCTCTGGATTAGATGAAGAGGAGGAGGAGATGTGGGAGTATTGGTGGGTGGTGGAGGAGGGTTGGGCAAAACCAGTTGATGAATGAGGAGGGAAAGAAGAGGAGGGAAGAAAGAGGTAGGTTCTTCCTTAAGAGTGACCTAGAGGCTGGGCCCAGTGGCTCACACCAGTAATCCCAGCATTTTAGGAGGCCGAGGCAGGAGAATTGCATGAGCCCAGGAGTTTGGGACCATCCTGGGCAGCATGGTGAAACCCTGTCTCTACTAAAGATACAAAAGTTAGCTGACCTGTAGTCTCAGCTACTTGAGGGGCTGAGTGGGAGGATCACTTGAGCCCAGGAGATCAAGGCTTCTCTGAGCCATGATTGTACCACTGCACTCCATCCTGGAAGACAGAGTGAGACCCTGTCTAAAAAAAAAAAGAAAAAGTGTGATCTAGGTTGTAAGAGAGAAGAAAAGATAAGGCAGTGTCTAGCGTGTAATGTAATGCAGGAAAGGCCGTTTTGGTTATTTTTAAGTTAGAAGAGACTGAGGCATGTTCATGGAGGAAGAACTGGTAGAAAGAGTGGGACTAAAAGGGAGCTCAAATACCAAGGGTGCAAGAGGATGAGGCTGAGAGCACACCCTGGGAAAGTGTGGGAAGCAGACCCTTCTGCAGGGAGAGAAGGGTACAGATGTGGATTAGGGTGAAGTTGTGGAGGTCTCTGAGCAGGAACATGGGGCCAGTTCCCACCAGAGAGCCTCCATCTTTGCTTGGAAGCTGCAAGGAAGGTCACTGTGCATGTCAGACAATGACTCTGCTAGCCTCTCTTCAGAACAGTGAAGGTTGCCCCATCAGGCAGAGGGACCCAGGGAAAAACAGCAATAAAACATTTGCAACCCTGAATGGACCCCATCTTGCTTCCTATACAACCCGAGGTGTTTAGCGATCCTGGCTTTCACTGCTACACCATCACCCTAGATTAATAGGCTCCAGAATAGCCTTATTTAAATTCAAATCTCCTTGGCAAGGTTAGCCTGGAACAAGATAAATATGCTTTGCACTTCAGATCTCAAGTAAAGACTTTTCTTTGAGGATAATATTTCTTTTCAAATGACCAGGACCCAAGGAAAAGTTTCTTTTCTCTCACTCTAACATCTAATTAGTTACACGTGATCTCTTCTAGTTTCACTCACAGCTGAGACGTTATCTGTGTATTTAGGGTGGGAGTTTCATAACAGGGTCAGGAACTTGCAGGCAGTGGGTGAGGTGGGGAGGAAGCAAATGCTCCCAGTGGGGCTGGGCCTCCATCAGTGGGTGGAAAGCTAATGGCTCAGCTCCCAGACAGGCCATGAACAGAATGAGAGGGTGCTACCTCCACAGCCATGGGGATCTCTTTCACCATGCAATCCTCTCCACTCAGGAATGACTAGGAATTGTGTCCTAAGTTACCCATGCTTCAAGAGTTTCCATTTGGCTGACATTACACAATTCTATTTAAGGATGCTTAGTTTTTATATTCCAAGTTTCTCCATGAAAGGGACTAATGTTTACAGACATTTCTTTTCCTATTTTTCGTTTTGTTTTGTTTTCTTGAGACAGAGTCTCATGTTGCCTAGGTTGATCTTGAACTCCTGGCCTCAAGCCATCCTCCTGCCCCAGTCTTTTAAAGTGCTGGAATTACAGGCATGGGCATTTTACCCAGATATTTAGCATTTTTGCTACAATTCACACGTGTCAGAGGATCTAAATTTCGATATACAGTAGTGTCATTTCCCTTTGTGTTGGAGAACTTCCTTTAGCATGTCCTTATTTTTTTTAAATAGACACATAATTATTGTTTAATTGTATATACTATGGGGTACAAAGTGATGATTTTATATATGAATATATATATATAATATCAACTCTCATTGTGGGATAATTAAATTAAGTTAATAACATATCAGTTACCTCCCATATTTATTTCTGTAGTGAGAACATTTGAAATTTACTCTCCTGGCAATTTTGAAATATACAGTATAGTATAATGAACTATAGCCACCATGTTGTATATTTGATCTCAAATACTTATTCCTTCCATACAGACTTTTCCTAATTTCATCTACTGATTCTCCAGGTTGGAAAA